TCTGAGGAGAGGAGGAAGGAGAGGAAATATTAAAGACTGGACAACAATTGAAGGGACATGTCTCTCATTTTACTGTGGCAGTGGATTTATAGCCCACATGACCTTTTCCCTCTCCAGAGATTTGTTGCCATGCAGTCATCCATCATGGTTCTAATTTGGCATAAGGTACAGTAGGTTAGAGCAGAGTTTCTGTTAGAACAGCCAGGATATTTTTCTTTATTATAGAAAAGGGTTGTGAAATAATAATTACAGTAATAAAAAAACTGGAGGGTAATTTCAGTTATTTAATGAGAAGGTTGACTGAACTCTGATGAATTTGATAAACAGTATAACTATTAAGGACAAACGACTACAGTAGATTTCAAGACGTTACTTAGAATTAACATCATATAAATATATATTTTAAGTGTATTTTAAGTTGTGTTAACCTTAGAGTCGACAACACAAACACAGCAGCTTAAATGTTGTTATGTAGACACACTAAAAGATATGTCTGATACTGTAAGACTGAAGTGAAAGCAGCGCATTAGAAATACAGCACAGTTTCCTCAGTGATGATTCAGCTCTGGGTTCACAGCGAGGGGCTGCGCATTGATGTTTCTACAAAGATTAATCGAATCAACCACTTCTGAATCAATAGAGTTACAGAAGTTTAAAGAATCATTTCTTCAGCAGTGCTTTGTGTGTGTAAAATGAAGACGAGATTCGGGGGGATGAAATATTATTCAGATTTTACACCGATTTTTTTTTTCTCTATTTTTTAATCAGCCTGAGTGTCTGAATGGTGCAGCAGGCCGAGCCCTGCTACAAACACACTTTTCCACATTACAGAAACATGTGTCCTGACCTTTTCAGCAAAAACCTTTCATTTATTTTTCTAATGCACTTGATCTTGTGAGTTAGCCTGTTCTCCTAGTCATAGAAAAGGTCAAAGCTTGAACTCATGTCTGATGTCTGCCTGCAGAATTTGCCATGTCACCTTTAATTTCCCCAGGAACAGACATGGAGCCTCATCCACCCAGATTTAATACAAGTCGGTGTTCATGCTGTACAACACACATCGATGGTATAAACACAAAAGTCACAGTGACAACTGGAACAGAAGGCTCTTGTTATGTCATGTAAACCATTCTTTTTGACCATGAAGTAATAATCTAAGAACAACTTGTACTGCATCAAAAGACAACTACCAGGAGTGTGCATGTCCATTTCTCTCTTGCTACTCAACTGTCCCATGGATTCAAAAAGTTGTCCTCAGGTCTGAGCCTGCAGTGGCTCATTACCATTGGAAGGTAAAGACAGAGGAACCAGCTGTTCAGAACGGGGCTGTAGTCCAGCTGGGTTCAATCCTAATAACATACTAAGTTGCACAAAAGTAACATAATAGGTAACTTTTAAGTTTTGTTTTTATTTTTATTAAAATTCACATTCACAAATAGCAACATTTGGCCCCCAGGCCTTGAGTTTGACATTGTCATTCAAAGCCTAAGAATAATATCAACATATTGAATATAAATGATGTTAATATATGTCTCTAAACAACATTTTTTTTGTTTTATAACTATATATATTTGTATATATTTGCAGAATTATATACACTGCTGTTTATATATACTGTATATATAGATACTATAGGCAGAGTAACACAACACAACTCAAATTATAGGTAAAGAAAGCATCAAGTGGACTCTTGATCCTTTATCATGGGCTTCTTTTCAGACTATATGGTCAAATAAACTGCAGAGCTGAGCATCACTCACCGTATTCATCTACAACTCAGACGTTTCCTCAATGACCCAAAAAGAATGAGGCAGTGTGATTATCCATTAATCAAAAATGGCAGCACAAGCTCATTTGTATTGTTCAAGTGGATTTCTGAATTTAGGACATTGTGGAGAAATGACCCTCTTATGCATATGAACAGCCTCAGAGGGGGAGAGGCTCTGGGTGCTGCATGTCACAGCAATGTTGATCAATGATGCTGCCTGGAATTATGAACACAGAATTAGCACATTAGGACTTGTATGACAAATAGGCCAATCTCCAGCCGGTGCCCGAATCACCTCAGAGAGCAGTGAAACTAATTGACTGGACTCATAGGCCAAGATGAATTCAGCTGGTCACCGAGCGTTAACATCAAAGCTCTCTACAAATGTTTTCAGCACCAGGTCAGGTTGTTCGTAGTGTTGATTGTCATTTTTTGATACTTCCTTAGGTTGAGTCTCAATATATGTGCAAAGAACAGGAAGGCAGTGTTCAATGGGTGATGCAGCTCTGTGGTTTAATCAGTGACATGCAGAGTGTGCATGTAGGAGTGACCTCAACCCAAACCACAGTGAGGACACACAGGAGGAAAGCATTTACTTCTCTTTAGCATGAAGCTAATCTAATCCAAAAATAAATAAATAAATAAATAAAAAAAGCTCTGCTGTTTCTGCATCAGAAAATGTATAGATAAAAATAAGAATAAAAAAAGTAAAAATATTGACGAAATACAACAAATCTTTTTGCATGGTTAACACAGCGAGCGGAACAGAAAGTGAGCAGAGCTTCAACAACAATAGCACATTTGAAAGGAAGTGTCAACTGAAATAAACAATCATACTCAAGATCCCAAGTTTTAAAATGAACTTTTAGCCCAAATATGACCCTAACATGATTGCCCGGCAGTTTTGACCCTGGATAAACAAAAACCCTAACGACGAGTTCTCAACCTCAAAATGTGGTCAAACTATTCATGTTTTTTTTCTAGTGAAGCAATTCAAGCATTCTGATTCTAACAAAACCCTCTCCAACATTTCTTTGCTGAAGATTAAATTTTCACTTGGCCACAGTTCATACAGTCATTCAAACAAAACAGCCTCAAACTGAACTGAGAGCTGATCTGTTTGATTAACATCTGTTTTTGAAATGTTCTGAAATGTTGATTTCTGACCTGAGGCCATTTCTACTTCCTGTTCTTTGTTTGGTTTGAGTCATTAATGCTACATCAAAGGCCTACTTGATGTGACAGTGTCACGTAACCATTGAGGCATTTGGATGACATACTGTACTGACATATGACATGACAACACATTTTACAATTTAGAAATTTCAGATAAGGAACTGACCAAACTAAACAAAGGTTGGGGGACATGTGCCATTCTTTCATATCCATGCTGTTCTGTTAATGGACTTGGAAAATCTTGAAATTAGTTATATATCTCCCCAAGATCTACAAAACTAATCACACATCCTGTGACTTCATCTGGGGATAAACCGGCTGCAGCCGGAAGGAGGTCCAAAGAGATCCAGAGCAGACACTATCGAAGAGAGTTGTCTTTGGCAGTCAGGCAAAGAGTAGTGTGAGCACTGCAGTTGTGTCTCTGGGTGCAAATCTACTTTAAAATCTACTTCAAGCTTATATCACACTCTCACTTGTGATTCTGAGATTCACATAAAGCTAAGTAGACTGACTAATCACTAACAGAACTGAAACAGCAGCACCACGTGGTACCTCGGTTGGCAAACACTGACCACATACACAGACTGGACCAGTCTAGTCTGTGCTACAAAAAACATCGGACCCTGCAGATGAACTGCAAGTTGAGCATATTCTTCCCAACAAATAAAAAAGCCAACTTTACAGATATAATCACAACACAATATAAAAAATCTACACAAATGTCAAAGAACTCATCAGGACCAGCACGATGCCTGTTAGCCTGACGACCACAGCGAGTGCCACAAACACCTGTGGAAATCTGGCCTCTTATAATGTAAATAATAAACTATTACCTGACAGCCAATCAGATCACGGCATCCATTTGCACGTCACATTTACCAATTAGCCACACAAACCTGCAGCACTTCACTGATGACAGACGGACCCAGGAAACACCTGTGATCACCTGTCATGAACCAACGTTTTGAAATGCCCTACATTGTACATAACAGTATTTGATAATACTTTGTCATGAAATACTTAAATATGTGCCACTCACATCGACAAATTAGTTTTCCAGTAAGTGTTCCAAGAAACACATTCTGTGTTTAATATGTACAAAAACAGTAAAGTTCTTTTTCTCTTCTTCTACCTGCTGGGTGTTTGGAGTGTGTTAGCAAACACTAATACACGTGATAGACATTAGACTGTGTGGCCTTTTAGCAGTAACAAGGCAGTAGGTGAGAATAGGCTGAGGGTAAGTACAGACCCCTGAACCCAGAGAGACCCCGGCTCTGCTCCTGCCCTCCCCTTCAGCTGGCCCCATCACTTTCTGCAGGCAGCCGAACAAAGAGAGGGCCCGAACAATGGATCACTCTCTGAGATCTGAATGGCTTTGTGGGTCAAGCTCTGGCCCCACCTCCTCCCTCTCTGACAGAAACACAACCCATACTTGTTCTGCTGAAGGCCGACCCTCCCGTCTGAGGAATAATGAACGCTGCCTGGGCATTAAACTGATAAAACTTCTTCGACTGGGAGCAGTGTGCAGACAAATCACCTATAATGGCACGAGACTGGAGCCTGTCTTCTGTCCTGTCTGTCCCTGTGTCTACCATACACTGTCCAGGCGTGCACACAGAATTCTTAAGTTCTTTGCTTGGATGTAACGCAAAGTGCAGCTTTCCAGATGATTTTCCTTGTGTTTTTTTCTTTCTGACAATTGATTTAATTTTCAGTTTTATTTCCCAGTGTTTCAAACATGAGCTCCTGAAATTGACTTGTTTTGTTAGGCAAATCAAACAATCAACTGCCACAGAAACTTGTTATTATAAGTACAGCTCCTCCTACACTGCACACAGGATCAGCAGCCAAGCATAAAATTTACCCATTTCATAGTCAAATTTCCACATCATCTTGTACACGCTTGACAGCGACAGCAGAACCTGGAATTTCTGGTAAAGCGACTAAGGCTGTGGATCAAATGATAACAACACAACATGTATTTTTCAGCTGCTTCCCTACGTTTGTGTGAACAATATTGAGTGAGCTTTCTTTTTTCTTTTTTCTTTCGTTACAGGCAGTGAAAAACACACACCAGCCATCTGGCAGAGTGAGGTAAAGGAATTATTTTAATGTTATGAATCATGTGAAAATGCAATTAGATCTGAGTCTGCTCATAGTCAGCATAAGGAACAATAACATAAAACTTAATTATCCCCATGGGGACAACGGATTAGATCATCATCATTTACTAATCCCTCCCTCTTCACATTTAACTGTTTGTGTTTCAGGTGTATTTGAGTTCCTGTCAGTTTTGTGTATCTCTCTGTGGCTCACTGTCTGCATGGGCAGCTGAGGTCTGGAGGCATGCAAGCTGTTCGGTCTTTCACCTCTGCTCGCAGCCCCTCCCCTAGGTCAGCAGCTATGCATCAGATCAAGTCAGGCCTCACGGGGTCAAGCAGCAGTGCCAGTACGGCCACAGTGAAGCATGAAGCAGAGGAGGATGGAAATGATTGGCTAGTTTAAACACACACTGTAACTACACTGTCAATTTGTGAGAATATTATTCTTATTTACTGTTTTACTGCAGGTTTGGGTCAAACATGTCTTCACTATATATAACGGTTTGCTTCAATAATTCATGAATTATTGAATTAATGAATCCACAATGAACAAAGAAAAATGTTTTACTTGGACATTAGTCAATTCACTTAACACATCTGTTCGATTCATATTATTATATATTAATATTATTTTCTGGGTTTTTTTTTTCGTTCTCTCTTTGGTTTGTCTGAGGTCACACATGCACATGTAATCATTATTTAATTTTAAACTTTAAAGGAATTTCCTAATTTTCCTAATCCTAATTTTCTCACATTTTATATTTTATATTGATACATTCACAGATTATATATATATATAT